CCAGCTCGATCCTCGCCCCAAGCAATATATGTCGGACGTGGTCCAGCGAGGAAGCCGGCTGTCAGATCGCGCGCGTCCCTACCAGCCGAATGGACGATTTGATCGTCACGCAGCCGTCGTGCGAACGAGCCACGAGGCGAACTGCTCGGTACACGGGCCGACACTCGACTGGACCGCGGTGGTTTGAGTCGGGGGGTGAAATGGAGAAAGCCAGAAACAGCGCGACAGAAAGAGAGAAGGATCAACGGGGTGAAGGATGGAGCGAAACGCCGGGCGCGTGGAAAAGGGAGACACGCTAGCCTGATGAAGAGGAGGGTAGAAGAGAAAAGGAAGGACGGAGTGAAAGTTGGAAGGGCGAAGGGGTGTCAGAAGGCAAGAAGGAGGAAGGGAAACGGCGCGACGAAGGAGCAGGAAGGGGATGCGAAGAAAGCAAGTCAGAGAGAGAGAACACAGAGAGGGATGATGCTGCGGATGCGGAGCAGAAACTCAGTCCGTCTCCGTCTGGCTTCGCCGCAGCGCGTCGCGGCGCATTTCATCCCCCTTTCGAGCCCCGAGCGACCCACCACCCTCGTCGCCGGTCCCTTCGCCCCTCTCGCGCCACCACGAAACCCCCTACACTAACCCCCGGTTCCATGTCGCAATGTATCTGCAGTCGGAAGCAGAGACCCCGCTCTGCCTTCGAGACACCGCCGTGAAAGCCGGCCCTCGTTTCTTCACCGTTTATACCCTGCCTTTCTAGCGTTCGTTCGCCACGCTCCTCTCTCCATTTCTCTCTCTCACCCTTTCTCTCTCTCCCTCTCTCTCTCTCGTGTCCTCGCGCTGTCCACATTTTATCCTTGCACCAGACGAGGACCGGCTCTCTCTGTCTTTTCGCTATCCTGAACCACTAGCCACCCCCGAGTTGTTTCACTGATTCCTCTTAGGACGAGGATAGCGCAGAGAACAATTCCATGGGAGAAACGGGACCGCTTGAATGGACGGAAAAGGCACTTCGGGGGCGGTTTAAAGCGCGGTTTACGCTGTCAGCTCTAGGGGGTAGGTAATTGCTCCACGTCTACGAAGGAGCTGTTTTGTAGAGAAATCCACCGAACGAGGGATTCGATGACGCAAGGTACTCGAGAAAGAAATCGGAGATATCGATCATCCTCGGTAGAGACTGGATTATCGGGAGGATTCACGAGGATCTTCGAGTGTTTCGTTAATAGTTCCGTCGTTCGTTCGAGAACCCAGCTCCTTATATAAGTTTCGAGCACCACGAATTACCTCCAAAATCGATGTCCACGGTAAAAGAATATTATCGACGAGAGATACCGGATCGATCGATACCGCCTTCAGATAATGAACCACGTGTTTCCGTCCTACATGAAAAACAGACGGTACTTCACTCTCTATCGACGATCTTCGTCAGCCTTATCGCTCACGAGAGGTATTCACAGACGGATATCGAGACAAAACATTCTATCTACAGCGGAAACCGATTATTAAACCACTCGAGCCACTCGAGAAAGAGGGTCAGTCTGAGGGTTGGCGAATTTTTAATCGACTCTACGAGCTGCTCCCGTTTTGCTCCTCTTTTCGAGTTCAACGAGCAGAAAAGATCAGCAAGATCAATTGTACCGAGCTTATCCGTGTAACCAATCGCAGAACTCTTAAAAGATTCACGCGTCAGGAGTCTAACCGGTTTCCTTTCTTTCAGGTGCAACGCGAGAGATCCTGCGAACGGAAGCAGCCTAACCGGGCCCAAACCAGGAACCGTCCAAGCGATGAAGTTGCCACGATCTGGAAGTCTATGCGGATCTCATTGCTCAATAGCTACGCTTCATTTTTCTCAATCATCCAGTCGGAGTGGAAGGCGGCAATCGCATTCGAAAAAGAACAATCCAGACGTACGCGAGCGGGCCCTCGGCCGTAAAAGCGAATTGCCAGACTGTTCTGTATTTATGACTTCGCTCATTGCCTGGACTCAGGTCGAAGCCGTCGCGGCAAGAGGTGTACAACGGGGTTTTTTCCTCGCGCGACCGTGCCCGGGCATAAATTATTGCCGTTCGTTAAACACGCGCTCCACCCCTTGTCGCGCGACCTTCTTCTTTGAACTTTCCTTCACGAACCTCTGACCACGGCTACTGCGACACCGTGACCAAATTGTAGGACGAGAATCTTGGAGCTGCGATTTAGAAAAATGGGGGGAGAGGTTGGAGATACGCGGAGGAGAGGAGATTCGATAGTTCTGGTAGGAATGGGGGTGTGATTTTCAATTTCACTGCTTTGCGGGAGAGCACCCTGAGAATTCTGGTTAGCTAGCGAGGGGTGAATTATCTTGCTCACTCGAAAACGGTTTTGATGTTTCCCTGAACGAGATCACGGTAGCTTCGTTATGGATCTCAGTATACTCTGAATCAGTTGATGTCAACTCGTGTAGTCTAATCTCACTTATTAAGAGCCGTGAATTATACCTAAGAACGAAATTTTCTGTCTTAAGGTGTAATGATAATTTAACGCTGTAGTTACCAAACTGGTCGAAATGACTGGTTTCAGGTTTCTTGCAGCAGAATCAACGTGATCAGAATAAAATTAACGTGCGCTATATTCAGATGCAAATTATATTTCAACTATCTTTTGTGAATAGGTATGATTTTCGATTTCACCAGTTCACCGTGAGATCATTACAGGAACCATGATTGGTTTGGCAACCGTGAATTATCCTGTTCCACTGGAAAGTGGTTTCGACGTTTCTCTAACTGGTATCGCAGCGGCTACATTATGCATCCTAACACGCATCGATGCGAGTGATATCGATTTCACGCGGTCTAATCTCGGCTGTTAACTGTCAAGGTTTGTACCCAGAGTTTATATGTTCTATGTTGGCGTATAATGGCAATCCAACTTACGCTTTTTGCACCTTTTAGGACCTTTTACAACGCTCTTGTTAGACTCTTCGCTACAATAAAATGAAGCTTACGAGAAAGTGGAGAATGAAAAGAAGCCGTTAAGAAAGAAGAGAATCTTCATCTTTGCCATCTTCGACGATCTTTAATGCCCCTTGAGACGGCGGGAAAAAATCCGACAACCCCTCAGTGCGGTTCATCGTCTCTTAATTCAGCTCGTAAAAGCGGAGAACACACGGAGCAGGGAACGAAAATCGTCGCTGTGAATCCTCACTCTCGGAGTCGTTAAGATCAAATAATACGCACAGTAGCCGAAGGAGGAGGCGGTGCATTGAATGGTCTCACAAAACGCATCGATCGTGGAGCGCAATAAAAGCGACGTGAAAAGTGATAAATTTTATCCCGGACTCGCGGCTCGTAATTGGCAATAACCGACAGGAAAGCAACGCGTGCAATCACATGTGACAAACGTTTCAGCGAGTATGTGTGAATAGGCTGATAAATAATTTATAACATTTATAAGCTACGTTGCGTCGTATTCTCGTCCTAGTGGATAGTAGGAGTGGCTGGATAGAAGAAACACGGAAGGCGAGGGGCGGTGCATGGGAAATTCAAGTTTAACGAGTACCGTTTCTTTCCTTTTTTTTTTTTCTTTTTTGTTTCTTATTCCTTCGTGTTTTTTCTTCATATCCTTAATATTTAACTATGCATTTACATATTTGTGTAACAACGTCGTTTCGCCGCCATTCAGAACGAACGAACCGCGTGCCACGTGGCGAGCTGCCTGGTGACACGCGACCAAGGATCCGGCTGAAAACGAGCTCGTATATTCCGCTTCGACGAGGCTCGATTAGCTCGAAACTGACGCCATACCTTATAGAGTATCGCATTTGGCACGTGTCGCCTTTAATATCGTATATCGAAGCTCGTGTACATAATGTTCCACGATCCCGGATGATTTCGGGGGATGATAAGGGTATAAACGAGGTCCGCGAAATACACCCGTGAATATTTTTCTCCTTTTTCGACGTTTTTTTTAGTTTTTCAATTTTTTTTGTACCGTTGTTTCTATCACGTGTCCGGTTCAGATCACTGATGTTACGCGTGTCGTACGCACTTTGACCAGTATCGACTTTTCGTTCGTGCTTCGTGAACTCGAAACTGGGGTGTGTATCGTAACAGGTGGATACCTCCTCTGGGATGGACTTTGGGGTTAAAAATGGATAATGTTCGATTGTACTTTGCGCAGTTCTCGTTACAGCTGAACTCTTATATCTGGGATATTGTATATGAAATACAGACTGATATTTTATGCGTATTTGTATTATATGATTTCTGTATTGGGATATTATATAACCGGTACTCTCCACCAGTTAAGATACACTTGTTAGAGAATATAACTAGAATATAACTAGTATTTTGACGATTACGAAAGTGGCCTAAGTTGTATATCTAGTTCCAAGATGTTAATTCTTCGCAGTCACGAGACTTGATCGCCAGATACCAAACTTTATAAAGATCAATGATCAATATAGAATTTATAATAGTATAACGATACATAAAATATCGAGGAAAAAGTGTTTTATAGCTTTATCTTTTCAACAGATAAGTTTCGAGTAGTTACTTCCTTATAGCGAGAAGTCTTCGACAGCAAAGGATTAATAATCTTGCACTCGAATAGATTAAAAAATTAATTACAAAATAACTCGATTTAACCGTTCAGTTCTCTGATGTTTTGCAAGAATGATTTCACATTATCGTAATGTAAAACTATCACTTTTATAATTATCGACACATGCGCTTCTGATGAAAATTAATTTCGAGGCATGGCGAAATATTCTACGAGGGGGCTTAACATTACGTTGTCGTAAAGCAGCGACTACGAACGAAAAATCTAGGCAACGAATTATCGTTTCAACGTGTGCCAATCGATGCACAGACAATTCTAAGGAAACAGAAAAGGAAAGAGAAAAGAAAGAGAAAACAAAAAGAAAAATACTAGAGTAGATAATTAATTAGGAACAGTAGGAACGGATTTCATTTTTTGAGCAAGTCCTTAACGCCTAAGGGTAAGCCACACATCCGGACCACGCAGCCGGATGTCGGTTAGCGGTTAATTAACGCTAGAAATAGCACTGCACCAGAACGGATGCACGGTCTATCGAGATTACGTGTACTCATTTATGCAAGTACATACGCCTTCGCCGTACACGTGTAGTCGTGTGTTGCTTATTTATTATAGAAACGCGGTTCATAAGATATTCCGGAAGCGCGAGTCGTGATCGATCGATTCAACGAGAATATTCACTCCGCCTTCGCGCCTACCTCCCGAGACACATTTCGCATGTGCTCCAATAGAAACAATGCAAGATGTACGAAAGATAAAGGAGCGTAATGACTCGCCTTTACAGCGTTGCTTCGAGGAAACTAGAGTAGCGATCGCATTCATGGCGACTGGAAATTTTCGGCGGTGTGGAATCATAGGAAAAATAGATCGACGCGGTTCAGATCCGGATGAAATTAGTGATCTGCTCGTTGGATACAAGTAATCGTTCGCCGCTAATCTCTTCATCGACAAACGCCTTCCTTATCTAGAATAGTCCCGTGCGGAGCAGACACGAGATCGATGAGTGACAAACAACGATGAAGCGTCCCAACGAGCAACGTGGGAACGTTCGAATAAAATTTCTACGCCACTACGAGGTACAAGGCACGTAACAACGAACATCATCGTCATCGGACGATCTAGAAACCTGCGCGACTTCCAACTACTCGTCGCGAGGTTTCACGGAGAGGCACGTCGGTGATTAAAAAGAGCGTAAAACGACGGTGACTTCGCGTCGCGAGAGGCGTACACGCTGCTCGGAATACGAAAGGAGCGCGAGCCAAGTTCCATGGGAATGCAAAGCTCGAGGTTATGTCTGTCGGGTCCGCGTTCTTATAAAACTGTCTCGAGTCGAATGAAATTTCGATGCTTTACGCTCGTAAAGATCGAAAGTTCGTGTGGACGGTATTCCTCTCTGCTCGTGGATCCACGAAATCCCCTATTGCACTCGCCTGAATGTCCTGGTAGACCGTCTAGACCGCATAGATCGATCGAATTTCGAAGTTGGAACACGAACGAGCCCCTCTGCCCGTTGCGTGGTCGCGATGATCACGCCGGTGCTGGTGTCGCCACTGATTAATTATCGATTCGGGCAGTGGTGTTATAAATTATTTACGCGTTAGTATGTACAAACACACACGTCGGCCGACAACGAGAATACATGATAGACTTCAGTCTACGGCGTTCTGTCTGGCGTTCGATGTCGATCAGGACTTGGACGGATCGTCGCTGCATTTATCGCTATTCTTCTGCGTTTCCCACACGTTGATCCTCTTCAGGGGATAACAGATCACAGCCGAGAGGAAGATGAGGCTACCTGACACGTAGAATGAGGCGTCGTAGCTTCCGGTTGCGTCCATGAAGGCACCTGAAAGCGACAGATAATATTGTAATCTCTCCTTCAGAGGCGCATAGTTTATCGCTGGTATTTTGTTCTTTCTTTTTGTACTTGTTCCGCAGCTGATATATTATTATTCCACGTTACTTTCTCGCAGCGAATATCGCGAAATTGCTTACGCTTCTAAAAATAGATTAGATAACGCCCAAGTGTCTACTTATCTATTGGTTTTGACAGCCACCTACGTAATAATTCATGATCCTATCTTTTGGTAATAAATCAGACGCTTGGTCAATCACGATGTTATGCATCGCTCGGTTCCCTTTGCTGTACAAATACGCTTAAAATCTAATTACGAATCTACACTCGCTTCGATACACTTATCTCGAATAGGCCTCAAGGTTCACTCTCTGCATCTATGAGCGATATTATCTTCTTATAATGCTCAGAAACGCTTGCATAATTGCATTCTCGATTTATGAAAGTGTCTCACGAAATCTATTCACTGACCAGTATCTTGTAATGCGCCAGTTCGATGATAATTAATTGCATTATCGCGGTGGCATTAGTCATGTACGACTTTTAATTCTACGCTCAAACGTATTACAATATGCTGCTGAGGCGGAGTACTGTAATACCAAACGTTTATGATTGATGTCACGTTGCAACGTTGCAATACATTGTCGCATAACATCCCCGCTGTTGAAGGAATCGATATTTTCTAATCACCTGCAAGAGGCGCGCCTATGGCAGCTGCCACGCCTTGAAACAGAAGAAGCAAGCCGAAAGCGTTGGTCAGTTTCTCTAGTCCCATAAGATCTACCACGATTATCGATCTCAGCGAGGCAAAGACAGCTGTAAGAAACGAGTTACCAAATTATCAATTGAATGATCGCAATTTTAATATGTTACAGGATAATCGTGTCTACTCACATATACTGATACCAAAACCAGCAGCGTAGAAGAATTGATAGCTCTGGCTGAGAGATAGTCCGGAGAAAATGGTGAGAAGCCCACCAGCGCTGATGAATATATTGTTGACGACCAACGCGTTAACTCCTGGCAAGCTGCTGGCCACTCCACAAACGACACGACCAATGGTATTACCGATACCGATCACAGAAACGAGGAACATAGCGGTGGAGGCCTCGATGCCTGCCAATTGGGCTCGATCTGCAGGATAGAATCAGCTATTGTTACTTGGTTTCTCTGTTTTCTCTGTTTGGCACTTGGTCGACTTCAAAAATGGGACAACCCTTTAGATACCATCTAACAGATCCTTGAATTTTTTCTGAATCCAACTTTTTCCAGATACGGCAAGCGATATGGATACGCTTTCAAGAAAGTTGAAGAGGCGTTCGTTAGAAGTTACGTTGAACATTGTAAGAGATAAGGAAGGTGATTTAACGAAAAGTGATACGATACCTGGGACGTACATGAAGGGTGTATAGAAACCCATCATCGTAAGGCCACCAGAGATAGCCAGGATCAAGAAAGATGGACTCTTCAGAAGACTTAGATCGAGCATCGTTGTCAGGATTCGACGAACACTCTCTGGACAGATGTAGCAGCTTCCGCTTTCTTGTTCAGCTATATCCGTCGCGGTAGGCAGACGTGTGACAGACATGTGATAACCAACGGATGATTGCTGTGTAAATTGTGATCGGTAATTTCTAAGTCCTTCAGCTTTGAATTGAAATAGCATTGAAATTTGTCTATGAAAATTATCTGTATTTACCAAATCGTTCGACTTGAAGATCGTCTTTAGACTAAACTTATTAATTCTTTATAATCATAATTTATTTAATCTAAGTTTGGTATCAAATTGTTTAATTTAAATCAATTCCGTAATTTCGCACGCATAATCAGTAGAAATTCTTGGATCGAACAAAGCTCCTTTCCAAAATTTAAATTATTTATCCTATTTTTAGGCCTTCCGTTCCTTACCTGCGACTTGTAATGCGGCAGTCTGTTCAGGGACCCGCCATAAAAGATGTCGTCTCTGTAGAACGGTCTCTGTGGATCTTTGTTGAATGGGTTCCGCCTGTTGCCCACCTTCAGCGACTTCTGGCTGCAGTCCGAGTCCGCGCGCAGACGTCTGCCGCTGATCGTGTGCCTGCGAATCTGCCAACAATTTCCTCTACTTACTTAAACAGGACGAACTGTTATTATGACTAAATGAATCCTGCTGGCACAGAATCCGCCATAAATGTTCCACCGTATCTACAAAATACATTTGTTACCGTAAATATCCTCATAACCAATTGTTGATCTTCCTAATATTCATGTGCATTTTCTTCCTGGAGTCATATTACCATCTTCCATCTTTCAGAATTCTCGCTGAGCAACTCGTACAGTGACTGTCCAGCTTTACACCACGGTTGATAATTATATATTTCCTCTGACTACTTACTCGTTGCAAGTGATAACAACGTGAATTAGTAGAAACATTGTGCGCTTTCTGACCTCTTTGAAAGTTAGGATAATGTGTGATAAGTGTTCTACACTCACCGTGGGCACTTTGCCATTCAGTCTTTCCACATCTCCACCGAGGAGATTGTTCTCCTCCTCGACCATCTTCTCATCCATGTTCACGTCTAACTCGGGATAGATCGGGACGGACAGCCGCTTCTCAGAGCTGCTCAACTTCCTCTCCAGAGTTCGCAGTTCCACGTGGACCTTATGAAGCGAATGCAGGGACTTGGACGCACTGTAATAAGAAGTTTCTCAAATCAGCATCAGACTCGAAACACCACCCTTCTCTTCGTTCTGTTTCACAGTTTAACGCTTCTTGTATCTTTACGAGTTTACCGACTTACAACTCGTTTTTAGTCTCGGTTTTAATTCGTTCGTCGAGAGCTTGTTTAACTACTGCCTTTACCTGTCCAACTCGCGCCACGCTTTGTGTCTTAAATAAGAGACTGTAATCTCTACAAGCAAAACCTCTGTGTAACTCAGTGTTACCAATTTCTATTTCTCAAAATCTTTTGTCCAAATCTCTCTTGTCGTTATAAACGCTAGAATTTGATCGGTAATTTGTAATTAAATGTAATACACGTATATCAATTTTGATCTTTTACTAAATTTTAAACTTTCTTGTACAACTCTTTGAAATTTACAGTCAATTCGGAAATCGATTGTTCAAATGATAAGGCTGTGGATCGAAGAAACCACCGATTGAAATGAAGACTAATGGAGATGTAATTATTACTTTACTATGTTGGGGTTGCTTCCAAGAAGTTCAGCAGCCGTGGGATAATCGGTATTGTTGTTGGTCCCGAAGAAACCGCTTCTTTCTGGTTGCACACAGTGCAACGACGCAGTGGACACTCCTCTCGCCATCAGACTGTTTTTCACTTCTAAACCCGCGTTTTCCGGGGTGGATTTTACCTTAATCCTCGTTGGCTTTAGTGGACGGAACATGGCACCGAAAATGGAGCAATTCAACAGCATCCCTAGAGTATTTATAATATTTATAACAACATTTATAATGATGTACTTCAAGGGATTTCTTTGTTAAATTGTTTCTTTTCTTTTCTTTCTTTTCTTTCATATCAGGAAATACAAGTCTGATCAGTCCTAAATTGGAAGAATGTTTCAACGCCTGATAAATAAAGGAGCAAATAAAACAAGTGTAAAATTCCATCAAAAACATTGGAGAATTGTTAGTGTTTGGACAGCACTCTGTGGAAATTAAATTCTAAAGTTTCCATTGTTTGCTCGAAAGCAGAGCCTCGAATGGCAAAACAACAGAACGCTTCTCGGCATGAAACATCCCGTACGACAGAGCGAAAACATTTTACAAGACCAAACAGTGAAGATACCATCTTATTAGCAAATTGTAAATCATCCAATCAATAACATTGTCGGCAAAGAATTTACTGACAAAATCTCGGCGTCGCAATCGAAGACTGATCGATGATGGGTTAATCCGATGATTTATTGGTTACCTGCTTGGAAGAGCAACGCGCCCCTCCAACCGAATTGCTTGACCAGTAAGTCTGAGATGGGCGCGAGCAAGAAAGCGCCGATTCCGGATCCGCAGACCGCGATCCCGGTGGCCAGTGCTCGCCATCTTTCAAAATAAAATCCGGTAGTTATCACAGCCGGCACGTAAATCAGGCCTGCCCCGATACCTCCTGACAATGCAAGACACAAAGACCACGTGAAACGGGGGAAGTAAAAACGATAGAGCGCGGAATGGAATTTTTTCAATCGCCATCGTTCTACTTGGGACTCGTTTCATCGACGATTACTCGACAGGGATTTTATTAAACTCCCCGATCGTAATAGTTTGGATATCGGAGTTAACGTTAGTTGGTTTCATTCTCTTTTCCTTCGTTCGTCTTTCTCGTTATTTTCTTTTTTCTTTCTGCTCTTGTTAAAGGAATTTCGATCGAACGAACAGGGGATGAAAAGAGATGTCGTTCACGTGCTTCGAAAAGGGGAACGTTCTTTACATGCGAAATGGAACTACAGGATAGAGGGAAACTTTTCCGTCGAGGCAGCAGAAACTTGGCCCAAAAGAAGCGTATACAGGGTGGTTACGGCCCGAAAGAGCGTGCCTAAATGTTTGCCAAGTGTGTGGAGGTACGTAGGTGTTACCAAAGACAAAGATGCGTCGAAGAATATGCAAATGCTTCTGAATCGAGCAAATTTGTCCTTAACAGCAAAGCTTCCGGGAGCTACGGGAATATTTAAGCACCCTCTTAGGCGCTCCACCCTGTATATAGGGCAAGAACTTACCGAGCACGCCGTAAGAGATATAGAGGAACTCGATGGAAGTGCTGAAGTACGAGAGAACGAAAGCGCTGCAACTTATCACGCTTCCAAGGATCGCGACCAGCCGGAAGCCGTACCTGTTGGCCAACGCTGACACAAATGGACCTGCGAACATGGCAACCGTGATTGCATATAAGTTTGAAGTGAAACTAGAGGAACGTTGATTTATTATTAGAGTCAATCACTTGGCTCAGAAGGAAAAAGTCATTGACAAGTACGATAAAGAGCTAATTAAATTGCACGTTAAAAATAACACAGATAACGAACGACGAGGATAAGAAGAAAATGTCATTCAACATTGGATCGAGGTATAAACGTATTTTTTCAACTATCACGTATCAATGAATTTACATCCTTCTTTTGTCACTGACCAGCCATAAGATAAAATCCAGACTGCAACGAGCCAACTAGCGCCACCCTCGCTTTGGACACCGCGAATGCCGCGGATATGTCGTTCAGGAAGACCCCAAAGCTAAAGATGATGCCGTCCACGAAGAGGTTGCACATGAAGGAGGCTGCGACGATCACCCAACCCCATCCACCATCCGGCGGCACCACCATCTCGACCTCGATGCTCTGTTAACACCAACAATCACAAGTTCCCGCGTGAATCTCCCAGGAAAACTTATCTCGACGAGAAGTTTCGCGCTTCTCTCGAAACTTCCTTTTGATTACCATACTAATAGGCAATACCGAGGATAGACACGATGTCAGATCGGTTTCACGATTCTCGTCTACTCGACTTTTTCCGGCCTGGCACGATTCTTACCTGCTTTCACTGTAGGAACCGATTTAACGAGATTTAACGAGGAAGTTTTGAAGAAGTTTGGAGCTCGAATAACTAGCATGTCGTGAAGGTGTAGCATAGTTGACGGAAAGAGGCAAACGTTTCGTTTCGCTGGTAAACGCGATGGGCAATGAATGACATTTCAGCATCGTCACCCGTGGAAATTCACAAGGTGCTCGAGATCAAGGCTAAAAACGCCAAAACCGGCCAAGCCGGCGACTTTCGCATTCTCGCTGGATCGCTCGTGACCCAAAACTCTGGCGAGTTATCGGACAGCCAGAGACATGTGACGCTGATACCGATTTACTCCGGCTGAGAAACGTTGTATGAATTACTACAAGTATTTTTAGTCTCGTGCAACGATACCGCCGACGGTTGTCGCTAATCTCTTCACAGAACATTGGAGAGCCTGGCGTTTCGCAAGTTTCACCACCATGATCGTTGGAACTTTTCTCTCACGAATCGGGGAGCCTTCTTTCGTGGGGTATTCAAAGGTATTGCCACACTTTCCTCGAGCCACGTAATTCCCCTTCTAAAGCTTGTACTTTGCAGGTCTTTCCCTTCGAACGATCTCCACTGAAGGATGAATGAAAAGAACGAAGTCACTGCTTGCAGAAAAGAAAATCCATCGGCAAAGAAAAATGTCAGAGTTAGGTGACTGCGACGCGTGATCCACGATCATCCAGGCATTGTGTCACGAGTAGTGTTACGGCAACTGCGTGCAAATTACACGGATTATGAAAAGAATAGCGAACTCGTCCAAGTAACATCGATCGTTCCTAACGAACCGATCCCTCGTTTTCATTTGCATGATCCATGTGATATTATCGAAGCGCGATTCGAGATACTCCACACAGACCATCGGTCTTCTTACCTCATTGTTGTTATCCTGCATGTCTTCCAGTTGCAGCTCCTCGTTCCTGTAGCCGCCTCCATTCTGATGCGGTACCTTGATGACATGCTCATCCACTTTATTCCCCAGCGACGCCATCGTCGTCCACGGTCGGCTGAAAAAGGATGAAACGATGCAGCAATGTAGATCGTATGAACAAGAGAGATGAAAGGAACGAATGGAAACGAAACGGAAGAAAACACGATGAAGATAAGGCGGAGGCGACGAAAAATGTTGCGTTTCGTACGCATTACGAGTTGTATGTCTATCTGCGAGTGATTTAATTAGGTATTTGTTTACACTCTGCTCAATCCGTATACCGACACGTCATACCCGCCGTGCACATTAGTGCACAACGTAAATACGTGTGTATTATCATACCTATAAATTATCCACGTATACGCGGAATAAAGAGGCGGGAACGGAACTGGCGACAAGGTTTTCGCTCCTCCCGCGACCTTTCTTTCGTTTATGATAAACGATGCCGGAACCCTTTGGGGTGGAGGGTGCTATGTCGAAAATCGAAGCTGTGTAACGAGTACGGATATCAATCCTGATGGATCACGCTTCGATATCGATCGGTACACGGTAGATCGATTTAACGTCTAGGCACGGTTGTTTTTCAGCAGCGTTTCTGTTTCACTCACGAACAACTGGAATCTTCAACTGGAAGTGTGCTACTGTGGAACAGTCCGTATGAATCATAGATATTATACACTGTTTCATGTAGCATAGAATGTCGTAAACGTCGCGATGGAAGTCAACACTGGACGATATCAAGAAGAAAGTGGCGTCCTGATAAACGTCCGACGAATGACCAGAATCTCGGACGAATATCATTGGAGAAAACAACGTTCTAATCGGACCTCGCGCGATTCCAGACCTCTGTCTCTGATCGTTTCATCAACGTTCAGTTAGCCGGTTCAGGCTGATGCGATTAGGGCTGGTATGAGGTAGGTCGAGGGCGATGTGAGATAACGACTTACAATCGCGAAACAAACACCAAGAGTTCTTATAAAGAGCGTAATTTCGACTTACTCTGCTTCTTTCATTTCATTTATAGCACGAGAAGAGGATCGAAGAGACACTGCACAAAATTGAGATTGAGAGGCGAAGTCAAACGCAGAACTTCGTAGGAACAGCGTGGATCATTTTAATTTCGTTTTACCGACTGAACACCGAATACCGCTAGTGTTGACCGTGATGTTCGACGCACAACGAAGAACTCGATTAAGGATGAAGTTTGTCCTGAGAAAATTTCTCACAGCTGATTAGGTCACATGCATGAAGTATAGTCCCACGGGCAAAAGAGCAATCAGCTCGTTAAATTGCTACACGAACAACGACCATCCCGATCCCAAACGAGCTGATAGTTCACATCACGTGCCGATTGTTCTGTATGTTCGGCCGCCCTTGACCTTTCTCAATGCTTTTATCCGACCTTCAACCGAGAATTAACTTCCACCCTAGGGGTATGTAGACTTTTCGAGTTACTTCAAGCTTTTAAATCGATTCAAATAGTAACTCTTGAAATGTTATCGCAGGATTAACCGATGCATAATTGCAAATATTAAGATAATATTCTTAAAACGAAATTTTATCGATGCACTGATGACCTTTCTGAATATTTAACAAGATACGATAAAAACGAATCGATACAAGAATTCGATAGAATAAAATTCAAGACTAGCATAAAGAGTGCAATTGATGGATTCCGGGGAACGGAATTAAGTACCCAATTGAAAATCTACTTACGAGGTTTCTATTACGAAGTGCACGTCGTGAGGTTGTACAAGAATCTGTGTCTGTCTTTTTACAAGTCGCTACATATATATGGATAATTTAGGAATGACGTGGAAAGGACTGGAGAAGGAATATTGTACAAAGGGCAAGGGTATAGGGTGACTAAGGGATGACTGTATACCCACTTTCGAGGATGCGCTGGCATTTACAAAAGATTAGGTGTGAATTAGCAGGTATAAGACACAACTGGAAATTGAAGAAATGGCGTATAAAACTTCACATACCGTAAATCCACAAATTAACCCCGAAATTATTAATCCAGAAATATTCAAGAGACAACGAATGACTTTATCACCTGTAACGTTTTCACTTGGCTTAATAATCAAATTCTGGTCGATTTAGAGCTCGTCTGTTCTTAACGGAGCAACAGAAAATGGCCTGTTCGGCGTACGATTGTAGAGAATTGAACAATCGAGGACGGGCTGTTCTAATAAGCGAACGATCTTGTATCTCGCATTTTGTAAATCAACGATAAGATACGACCTATGTTAACCAATTTCACGACAGAGTTTGCATATCAAACGAAACGCATCTCCTTTGAAAACACAGTAAATCGTTTCTGTGTTTACTATGCACACTCTCACACTCAAGGCACCCACAAATCTTTCAGTGCATTGTGATACTGCTGATAGATGAAGAGGAGAAAAGCAAATCCAAATGAATAATATTTTCCTTGGGATTATCTCGAATGCAACTGTTTTCTAAATTTACTTACAATGCAATTATCTCCGACAACTGCCTCTTCCTAAACACACAAAAGTTTAATTATCGTAAACGACATGTATTCTAGTCTCATCTAGAGAGAAATAATTATTACGAATGCTCCTGTGTCCCTTAGAGACGAAACTATCGGCGGAACTGGGTCAATAAGCTCACTGAAATTTTGATAAACCGAAGATCATCTCTCGCAGTAGACGCTTGATTAAAAGATCCAACCAGCGATAATTAGATACTTGAGATAATCTTTCGATCCGATCAATCGTGTTTACTCGCTTATGGACGAAATTACATTTAGAATTAGTTCAGATACCATAACAACGGTGATAAAAATACAGATACCAGGTAAATAGCATTCAATTCAATAAAGGATCGAAATAAATTACACGAGTGAACCCCTGGAATTACAGAGAGACCTTTCTTCCGGGATCAACGTCCTGAAGTGTGACAAAGTCTCAAGAAATCTACAAATCTAATTATTCTTACAAAGTCTCGAGAAATCTACAAATCTAATTATTCTCGCAGACAATTGCTCATAATCTTCTAAACTAAATCGGAAACAAAGAAGAAGAAACAGTTTTTGGTCTCTGGATCTGCTAATTTTTCACACATGATCATGTTACCAACATCCTACACCGTCTGTTCGAACGTTCAAACTGTCTATCAAAAAATCCATGAAGATGGCTCGGGACAACGTCCCTTACATATCACTGTCTATCATCGTCCCTTATAATCACCATTTGGCACAAGGTCGCGTCAGATATAAATACAAATGACCACGGATAATCGGTTACGATCTAGCCAAGAAGACGGGAGGGAAAAAGAAGGAAAGGATGAAGAGGAGATTTCGACACACTGGTTAACGCCAGATAAATGGTCCAGAGCCCACATGGTTGGTACACGTGTAGCGACGGCGCTCCTTGACGAAGCCGTATTGTTCCACGAGTTATATATTGTTTCACGAGTATTGTGCAAATAGGGTTGTGTAAATTTCGACTGGCTGATAAGGAGCGCTCTTATTTTTAATAAGCCATGGCTAATTCTCGCTTCACAACTTCCTACGAACCTTTAAATCATTCACGAACAAGCGAGATATTGCATGTCATCCACAAACAACTAGTCCTCTGATTCTGGCATAAGAACAACGAATTTATGGAACGCATTTATCGATCCCCCTTTCTTCAGCAACCGAAGCACAGTTGCTTAGGACCGTTGGACTGCTAGAACGGTGATAATTGATGATGTAATTGATAACTGTGAGTACGATTCTGGCATAAGAACAACGAATTTATGGAACGCATTTATCGATCTCCCTTTCTTCAGCAACCGAAGCACAGTTGCTTAGGACTGTTGGACTGCTAGAACGGTGATAATTGATGATGTAATTGATAACTGTGAGTTAGAGTGGCGCTTAGGGTAACGTTAATTGCCTACTGCGGTGAAGAAATTGAGAATGAACATTTTTCATATGTTCCAAGAGAGTGTTGCAGAAATGAAGTAGCTTACAATGAAGGGTAACTCTTTTGTACTGTGCTACCTACAATTTGTAACATAGTGACTTTCTTTACTTCACAGATAATCGATACTCTAATTAATACTTAGGATCCAGAGTAAATTGGAAATTGATACTTCCTATATTCCAAGGCAGTATTATGAAAGTTAAGGCAAGAAATGGTGAACGGAGACTTTTCTATTACAACACCCAGAACTTGCAACATTGCAGCTCGAGACGCAAGTTTCTTTCTGAATAATGACAGCATGCTTTTGCTGCCTGGAGAACCGTATTGTAAAAAATTTGGATTTATCGAAGACATGTAAGCTATGTCGAGGATATTTAACTTTGTAAACTACTGATGTTATGCTCACTACCTCGTGTTTATGTTGGTGTAGCAGGTCTAGGGATAGTTTAGGTTTAATTTAAAGGCAAGTTTACTTTGTTGCTTGTCTGCATTGCGACACACCCTTGGTAATAGCGAATGCAGATGCTATGTATCGTTTAGAGAGTCTGATAAGACCTTTGGGATAATTAGAAAATCGTTTAGATTTTGACTTTCGACATAGGCTTTCACTTGGCGATAATCAACCCTTAATAACGATGGAATGTAACTCGAATTCTTGGCCAAAGGTTTCGACATGTAAAAGAACATTTGTTACAGGTCCCGTTTCGACACTGTGCTATGAATGGAATCCAGAATAATCGGACCACTATGATGTCGCAAGCTTTCAAAGTACATCCGTGCACTGTGAACGCTACGCGTGAAAGAGGAAAGGTTTGCTCATCCCTCGACAGTATGCTGAAAAATACGAAACGGTTCACTATGCGAGATAACCCGACCAATAGGAAAGCTGAAGATTACCAAAATGAAACGGAGATGGAAATGGCCATTGGCCATTTTGGTAAGATTATTCGACGAAAATATACAAAGATTGTTGCTAACTCTGGATAAGAGTCATATAATAAACAACTGCAATTCCAGAAACTGCAGATGGGAAAGGAACATCCAGTTTTTCCTTGGTACTCTCTGAGACTACCAACATCGTGGTGTCTTGAGAAAATACCCGGAAACACGGGAGCAAGTAACAGTATATCGAACCGACACCGGCAAAGATATTTTCTCGAAATAATCCCCGGTTCCATGGCGCATGGTCTGAGAATAGAGCCTCGCCTAATAATAGCGATATAAAAAGGAGGTCCATGGAAGAAGTGGAAAGAGGGAGAAAAGGAGAGTACGAAAAGGAAATCGAAAGAACGCTGATCGGCGAGGGATCGGTGCTCTAGAAAGCAGAAGAAGAAACAATTATCTGTGGAA